AGCTATGGAATGATTAAATGTATCCTAAGTTTGATGATATATATTTTTAAAAAATTTATTAAGCTCAGGCTCAGTGTGTGTTTTAATTAGTGTGTTTTGGGGGTTTTCTTGTAAGTTTTCTCGTCTTTTCTTGTTTATGTCAGAATGTTTACAGCAACAGTGTTCAATTGAGCCTGCCTCTGGCTCTTGATCAATAGTTTATCGCACGTTAATGGACTCTGCTCATGACCGGCCATCCATTTAACATCAACCAGGTCCGCTTACTCACAGGGCTGCTTTCAGCCAGAGCCAGCACAGGTATCCCTCCTCCCTATAACGACGTATCTCTTGAGTTACTTCGGGGAAATAAGAGAGTTTTACCTGTTTGACTGAATTTTCATTCTAAGTGTCTTCCTCCACTTACATGTTCAAAAGGGCACTCCTAATTTTTCACATGAAGTTGAGTCAACTTGTTCTAAGTGTCCGTATGTGAAAACAGATGTTTAATTTCTCCACTTTCTTTTGAGAAGCTTTCTTAGGCGATGATGCTTCAAGCATCTAACTATAGGTTTGAGGTTAAAGGACGTCACACTTACAACATTGTCTGTTGTAAGTGTAACGTTTAAAGTTACAAAGTTTATCTTCACCGCTCTACCACTTATCTGACATTTCTGCTATGTTAAGTGTTTACAATGTTGCTCTGCCAGTATCATTTATGGACCACATGTACCAAACATTATTGTCTCTCTTCCAATCAGACTATACCTCTAACTCAGTCATCAACCAGGGCTCTTCACAAACAGAAATCTGACAAACTTGAACCCTTTGACTTTCATAATCATCAACTGACTGATCTTCCTGGCTCTTGTTTGCTTCACATTGTACAACTTTCAGATGTAAAAGCATGGTGGTATGCATTTGTCAAACTATACTATGATGTGTTTACATATTTATCATTCTTTATTTTTATGTAAAATGCACTATGTATGATATTCATCATAAATGTTGACATTTGATGCATTTCACCAGCGTTAACCTAATGCACATGTTGATCAGCAGTGTCTTGGCAGATCAAAGTTAACAAAAGGAAACATATTAATCAAACAGCATTGATTAATATTTTTTATCTCATTGCACCTTAAAGTTAAAATTACCTTTTTATGGGCTGAATGAGTTTCAGTCCTTGAGCTTAGGAAATACATTAACAAGATTATGCTCTGTAGGTCCAACAAAATGAGAATCCTATCTGACATGAGCGCTGTATTTTTTGGTCAGGTGACATCTGGAATTGTGCAGGTGTCACCATTGATGATTGCAGTGCACACATCCCTACAGATCAGTCTTCTCTCAGAGGCTCTGTGGGCCTCAACACATCCCAAAGAGACACACCAAAAGTCTCAAAACAACTGCGCTAATTGGGATTCATGAATGAAATACTAGAGTAAAGGGGAGGCTTATGATATGTTGTGCACACGTGCACTCATATAAAGTCGTATTATCTAAATACCACCTGTTGTCATTTAGTATACACACCCATACTGCAAAACTGATGTGTTTTTTATCAAGCTAAGGGGCTTGTGTCCAGTTTCAGGCTCTTGCCGGTCCAGGGAGAGGGGTGGTGCCGCTGAGGGGTGTTTGCTTAAGGCCCATTTTACGACCATGATGCTTTTTCCAGACCAGAAGTGGGACTGAACTGCAGACGGAGTGGGCGCTGAGCCAGTACGCTGCTACTTAACTTTAAGGATCAGAATTAGATTCAATTCTGTGGCAAATGTTGTAGACCTGAGTTTGTCCGATACGTTGTTTTGGTGTCACACATCACTCAGATAACTGCAGATCACACATCCAGCATTTGCCCCAAAGTTGCAATATCAGTTTAGACGAAGTGAGTGTGAGCCCCAGGTCCACACATACTTCAAGTGCATGCACTCAGGCATTTCCTGCATTATTTTCATTCAGCTGACTGTCGTGCCCTTTGAAGCAGAGCACATATTACTGTAATGTTGATTGTACCCTACCGTTAAAGGTAAGGGCCTTAGGCTATCTGGATCCTTAATCTGCGGTCAAGGCTAAGTTCTGCTGTGAGCTATCTCTTCAATGTGCCGTGACACTCTAATGGCCCAGTCCCAGTGCGGATCAAAGAGCTGTTTGTGGCCAACGCTGAAGATTACACTTGGCTGCAATGCCATTCTCTCATAGCAGCCAAGACTGATCCCAGAGGCCCTCAGAACCGAGATGTTTATCAGAGCTATACCCAAACAAACAAGATGTGCGTCACTGTGCAGAACCCTGAGATGTTCATTGTTATGTTTCACTTTATTTGCTGTATTCATGGCTTTTAGACTGTCTCATGTCTGCTTATACTGTGTGGCTTTGTGTGTGTGTGTGTGTGTGTGTGTGTGTGTGTGTGTGTGTGTGTGAGAGAGAGGAAAAAAGAGGTGGGAGAAAAAGAGAAAGAAAGACAGGGAAGCTATAGAAAGTAGAGAAAGGGAAAGTTCAGAGTAGTAGAGAGAGAGAGAGAGAGAAAGTAAAAAAGAAACAAAGGAATATGAAAGAGGAAAGCTGCATTTGGCTCTGATTCTGAAGTTTTTAACCCAGCTTTATACTCTGAAGGAAATGACACAAGCCCTGTGTGAGCTAACATTGTCCACTCCAATCCCCTAAATATGTCCCTGATTAAAAATCACAATATTATGTCATGATATAAAGGACATGAAAGAGCAGGTGGGGATCAAATCTGATTTGATTTTGATTCGCAGCTTCATTAACTTCCCTGTTTTCCACGACCTAACACCCACATGCAGGTGGGGAACAGCTTCAAACTGCAGTCTTAATTATGAGCATGTGGCCGCGCAAAGCGTCCAAGGCGCACTTTACGCACGGTCCGGTCCCTATGGCTTGATTATACAGCACGCGCCTCTATTGAAAACAAATAAATCACCACACACAATGACTCAAGGTTTTAATTTGTGTGTAATAAAACCTCAAAATGACGATTTATGGAAAGCCCCACTCTCCCATGTTTAGCAACAAACGAAATGACTCAGTGGCGTTTGTCCTCGTTACTTTAAAAAAAATAATGTATTTCACATTTTCTGAACGGTTGCTATCGTTTGTTTATTTGAAGCACTTCAGTCCTCCTGAATTGTTGTAAAAACAATTAGGCGGCTTTGAATCGGACAGGCGCGTCTCTTGAGTCCTGCTCAAACCAAACCTGGACCGTCAGCTGGAGGAGAGATGGGGCTGACAGGCTGGCAGAAGGTCCTGGCAGGGAGGGTCCGCACCTCTCAACACAAGCTGTCTGCTCTTCCTCTGTCATTGAGAGGCCTAGGCCTATATAACAAACAGAGTGCGTAGCCTAGTGCTGATCCGATCAGAATTTGTTTCGTGATGAGTTGAAAACGTGTCTGAATTAACAAACTGATGGGTCTATAAAGAAGATCCCGAGTCTTAAAACTTGTGTTTACAAAATTAGATCTGTTCCTTAGCATGATGTGAAAATAATTTTAAAAATGAAATATTTTTACTCTTCCATGGCAGGTGTTTATGTCCCACAATTAGGACACGGTATGACTAAGAAGTCATTTATTTTACGCAGAGCTTTAACTTAGAAAGTGTGAGTTGAATATTAAAATGTAGGTTTTTGTCACACATTCATTTTAAAAAAGAGAACAATTTCAAAAGACGCCCTGAACTCGTTTTTAAAGTTGTCAATTATGTTCCCATCAATATAAAAACGCATCTAACTAATTGAGGACATGCTGGGTCAACTGAACTTGATGACGCGTTACTGCATACTTATTTTATCGTCCTGCCCGATACAATAAACTGTTCTGTTGGCTAAGAGTTGAAACAAGAATGACTCGTTAACAATGGACCTATTATTCAGGATTTTGTTCTTTAATATTTTTTCATTGTTTCTGTCACATGGGTTAATGGAACCGATGGCTGGTTGGCACTACAGTGTAAGTTCATTAGCCTAACTGTTTTCAAAAGAACAGCAGCATCTTTGATGTGTTTCCTCCAACTAATAAGATCCCTGCAGGGAAATCAAACTCACTGAAGAAGAAAGCAGACAGCTTTGTGGCCTTTTCGTATTTCACATTCAGAATATGCAAACAACTTGTCTTTGATCCAACTTCAGCTTTAAAAACCCCCAAAACGAATTCAATAGAAAATCACATCTGCAATAATTTAGGATGAATAATTTATTCAAATGCCTTTTTTGCATTTGTCCAGGAAAGGAGCATGCCTCGTGGGACTTTTTTAATTGCGATCCTTGTGATCTAAAATCAAGTACAATAATATCTTCTGAACTGAGCACAGAGAAATCTTTCGACGCTCTTCAGAATGAATTAAATACAGTAAGGTTATCCCAAACACCTGTGAGGCTTAGAGTTTTGTTTCTGCCTCTAACTGTTAGTCCCAAGCTTCACCTGTCTCAGTGTTAGTCCTCCGGATCATTCTGGTTAAATCAGCTGCTGCAGCGAAGGGCCTCCTACCAGCCTGTGTTTACTGCAACAAACAGATTCCCTTTAAATTAACATCCTGAAGGACTTTGACAAATCGAAAGCACGTGTTAGCAAACACACAGCCTTCTTGAATTAAAGTTCATCCCCGAGCTGCCCCCCATCCAACCTCCAAGAAAGAGAGCGCGCTTATTTGATTAACCCCAGAGTAATTACAACGTGCGTCCTCTCCATGGTTTTCCAGTTAGTCGGTCATATCATTTGCAAATTAGGATTGGTATTAATGTGGCTGCTATACCCAAATTTTGTGGGGATGCTGCTGGAATATTTTTGCATTTTGTAGGTCTATTTGGTATAGCATCAGTGCTTAGAAATACGTCTAGGCCAGAATAAACCCAAAGGCAAGACATAAAAAATGCCTCTTTTCTATTAACACCTCGTTACATTTTGTACTGACAAAGAGCTTTCATGTGTTTCTGACAGCGTTTGTTTTCAGTTGTGCTTTAACAGATAAAACAATCCCATTCAGAGGCCATCGGGTTTACACGGCCTGCTGCGCCATAATGCTGGGCGCGAGCCCTCCAATGATTGCTGAACATTGAGTGTTTTTTGTCAATATTAGCTCGACTACTTGTGGGGAAGTTTCTAATTGGACACGTGTTTCTGTCGCTTTTTGTCGTCTGGGATCAACTGATTTCTTTGTAATGCGTTTTTAAAGCATTGAGCCTTCCATAAGGAGAGTTAAAGTGTTCTTAAGAGCTCCCTTTCAGCCTTTAGAAAAGGCCGGGGCGACCCGTCGAGAAACATGGAGGCCCTGGAAGTATTTAATCCAGGAGATGTGCCTGTGAGGCTGTCACACAGCAGAGAGATTCAGAGATTCAGGCACATGTAGGTTGGCAGTTACAGGTTATTAACGGAAACCAGCCTTCCGTTATGCCCAAAGAACCCTTGGTTCATCTCATCTTAAATTTAAATCTTCCTGCCTGAAACCAAAGTAAAACTTTGTTTTCATTGCACCTGTAAAGATATATTTTAAAAAAAGAAAAAGGCAACAAACTCATTTTGCATTTTAAACTATGGAGGAAATGCTGTTTGACTTCGACCAGGATGGCACCACTGATTTTGCATTTTGGGGACAGATGGACCAAAACATCCAGTTTCAAACCCAGATGGACACCTTCCTCCTGGACTACAACGCGGCATCGGGCCAGCTCTCGCCCTGGTCCTCTTTCGGGAGCCAGTCCATGTTCTCGGACGCACAGCTGACCTTCACAGACCTGGACGAGGGCTCCCCGGGGTCGGGCATCTGCGCTGAGGGAGAGGGATCCTCTGTGGATGAACCCCTGGAGATGGCCAAGCGCAGGGCGCGGCGGCTGGCGACCCATCAGCCCTACAAGGTGCAGCGACACGCCGCCAACATCCGGGAGAGGAAGAGGATGCTGAGCATCAATTCTGCCTTCGAGGAGCTGCGCTGCCACGTGCCAACATTTCCCTACGAGAAGCGGCTTTCCAAGATAGACACACTGAGGCTGGCCATAGCGTACATCGCCCTGCTGAGAGAGATCCTCGTGTCAGGCTGCGACCCCAAATCCTACGTGGATGAGTGCATGAAGAGCGGTTACAAGAACCGGACCAACGCCATCTGGAACACAAGTGGTGAGCTAAACCTACAAGAAGTCCTTAATAAAACTGTTAAGCTGTGGTCAATTATATTTGACCTCTATTTCAATTAACCTCATCCAGGTTTTTGCAAATATTTCCGATATTTTTTTAAGAAATTGGATAGTTATACTTCATTCAGTAAATCATTGAAACTGGCATTTGTTTTCTCTTGTTCTCTATGAGAAAAAGTACCAAAAGAAAACCAAAATATGAAAAAATCTGATATTTAAAACTTAAATTTCTGATAAAACAAATAATCCATTTGATCACATTATGACAGAGAACATAATGACATCTGACACTGGCCTCTATTTATCTTTCCTTTATTTATTAACTCAGCAACAATTCACAACAAAAGTTATGTTATCTAACTAAGAGCAGTTCTAGACTCTTTGCAAGATTATTCAGAAAGACCCGGATTTAATCCAACATGAGCAAACTCTACATCAGTGGCGAGGAAAAACATCCTTTAACAGGCAGAAACCTCAGGCAGAACCGGACTCACAGGTGAACCGCCATCTGCTATGGGCAGAGTAAACCCTTGTACCATGAACACAGACTCCACTATTATTCTGCATCTTTGTTACATTGTGAAGACATAAAGAGAGGCTTTGAATGTTTCATTTAAATCAAATTAATAGACATAGAATTAATAAACAGCCTTCTGTGTGTTCCCTACACACTTTTATCCCAGGTGTGTTTTCCTTCTGAATATACTCTGAAATGAGCCTCATATTACCAAAACACAAGTGTTCTGCATCCTTGAATTCTGTGGGAATCTGCTGTGAAGCCTCTTTATGGGGCTTTTCAGCATTGACTATACCCCCATTCTGAAGCCCCCAGACTTAGAACTTGTTAAACAGTCATTAAAATGTATTAAAACTTATGAGTTTGTCCTGCTTTTGTCTCCTTCTGCGCCCCCCTCCCCAGATCTGACAGCTCGTCTCTCTTGGATAAAGTGGGATTAAGTGAGGATCATGGGGCACCTCAATTGTGGAGAATGGCTTGGCGAGGCAGCTCAGGCTTTTTCCTCCCTCTTCGCTCTCTCTCTCTAGATGTCAAAGACATCTAGAGAGGCTAGCGGGCATGTCAGAGCCGAGCGATCGACATCTGCAGACTTCTCACCGGGTCACACACCTCAGGCTTTCTCAATCCCTCCACTCCTGCATCCTCCGTGGCTTTTAATATTGTAATTTATTGTTGACTGGTAATGGAAAGCCATTGTTTTTAGGGCCAAGGAGGGAGAGAGGGTTGGCATTGTTTGCCCACATGGATAGCACTTGTCACAGAGAGAGAGGGGCACACTGGCACAGGACTGAATGGACTTCCTAAGGGCTCATACTTCTGCATGCAGCACTGAAGTGTTTTCTAGACTGGCGCTCATTAGCCTGCGAGTCGATGTGTTAAAAAGAACCTTAATCATGTAAATGAGACAGTGGGACAGTGTCTTTAAACATGTCAGCTGCTGCTGCTGCCAAACATGGGACTACAGCTTTAAGTGTAGGCTGCTGTTAGTTTCATGTGCAGTATAATTTATCTATTTATTCATTTATTTATTTTAAATATTTCTTATTTATGAAAACATGATTTCTTGGACATGTATTTGTACAAACTGATTATTTAATTTTCGAAAATTCTACTGTTACTGTTGTGTTTTATTTTTGATGGATTGCACATAAAAGCTGCTGACTCATCACCACAGAGAAGCTCGCACAGTAGATGTCTAATTTACTTTCATGAATTTGTTTACAATGTTCTCTACTCATGATGATAAAAAGACACCTTTCCTTCATCCTCCATACTGGTTTAGTGCTTGATTATTTCATGTCTGTTTGTACGTCTTTCATTTGGACCAATCCTCTGTAAGCTCTGCAGAGGACTCAAAGTCAGACTTTATTTGGCTGCTCAAGATCATTATTTAAAAAAATAAACATGAAATATTATTTAGAAGTGAATTTTAGTCAATTGTCCACATCTTTAGAAGAAGTGTTATAAGCCACTCGACTGTAAGTGGTAGCAAGCGTCTCATTTTTAGTGGACCTTCTGGCCCTCTGAGACTCGTTGACCCCTGGATCCCCCTAGTGGCAATGACTGGCTAGACCTCGTTTGAGATTTAATTGTATATTAGTTTGTTGTTTTGTGTCTGCATCAATAGTTTGAGTGATTGTGTAGCTACGAAAGAATATCATTTTCATTTTTTTTACTGTCTGTGGTCTGTGGTATTCTGATTTAGATTCAATCTAAAATTGTTACAGGAAAAAAAACTGAAAACTGATGCATAAAAAAAAGTAAAGTAAAATAACTAAAATGTAAATTATAAAGAAAATGAATCACTGATCCGTGGCTCACTGAGAAGTACTTTACTGTATCTTTAAAATGCAGCAACTGCTGGGGGCTTGTCAGTGTGACACATTTGAGCACAATATGAAATATACACCTGTAAGTATGAGTGCTTTGGTGTTGCTGAGTTAGAAAAATAGGTCGTTACTTATGTCAAAATGACCAAGATTGCAATGCTAATTCTGTAAGCCTGTTACTGGTTATTTCCTTTGTGTGTTAGCACGTGTTCAGTTGTTATGGATGCAGCAGTTAAGCTACCAGCACTATTAGTTTGATCAATGTTTACACTGTAATCTTGCTTTAAAATGCCTGTGTCACTTTGACACTTTTGTAGATTAATTTTCTGTGATATATTGATTTTTGTATTTTTGTATTTTTATTATTCAGCATCTTTAAAAAATAACCACCTTAATTTGTAAGACACCGTTTCTCATTTTTATTGAAGATTTATTCATTTATTTATCTTCTGCCAAACTTCAGGGATTCTTTTGATGTTGAAGGCCTATGTCTGAAAACGGCTGCAAAACCAATCTTTAATATGAAAGGCTTTTTTTCAACCAAAAATGGTTTTGAATTCATCATTCAGTTAATGATTAACAGAATCAAGTTGTGACACAATCATTAACTCAGTATGAAGTACATGGGGGCATCCCAGTAGAAATCAATGGCCATTAGTGTATTGATAAATGGATGCAGATTCATGTATTACTCACTATGTTAGTCATATAACTGATGATCAATACAGGACCTTCATGAGTCATACACTAACTCGTGGTTATCTGGGCATTAATTCAGCATTAATACATACAGATGAGCTACGTACCAATATTTCCCTATTTATCATGGAGCAGCATGGATACTCTTTATATGACCACCTACACGAGCTCAGGACCCATCAGCTCCATCCAAAGCAGCTCTGAATACCATTCAGATGACATATGGTTCAGCTGAGGGGAAATTTTGGGGCCAGAATGAGTAAGATCCTCCCGGTCTGTGGGCTGCATCAGGCTTCTTTTTTGTGTTGGGGTAGTTTATTGATTTAACATCCAACAGATTTACACTGACAAACACTATGAGGCTGTTTAGCCATCGGCCGGCAGGTGTGTTTATCATGTTAGGGTAACTCTGGAGTCTGGGCCATGCACTTGTAAATATCATTAGTGCATCACATCCTGTCGAAACAATGTAGCTGTACGGACAGAGGAGATCTGAAACAGCCCTGATTAAAGGGGGAAAATGACCAAGTCCAAAAAGATTTCAACTTTGCTAAATATTAGTCAGACAGTCAGTAGATCCTATGTCACTTAACTCTTTGATTAAAGGTTTATACTTACATGTATTTAATTAGTGTCAGTGTAATCAGTGTCTTGAGATAATCAATCATTTGTTATGAATTTGTTATGAACACAAATAAAGATGGTCTGACTGCCTGATTGATGATTTCCTCAAATCACAGCATTCAGCTGCCAGTGTCATACATACTGACTTACATGCACGAGACAAGACACATTCAAACTGTGTGTAAAATTCCCTATTATGTTTCTTTTAATTTAGTCAATGTTCATCCTTATCTCTGTAAAAAATCAAGTCAGTTAGTGTGGAAAACACAACCTACTGTTGTTGTCACTGTTTTTTGTTTATTTCAGGCGCAGTTGCAAATCTGCTTTTCTCTGGTAGCCACCATTTGATGTAGTTACTGTCCCAAAAGATTTGCGGTTGTTACAAGTCTTTTACAATTTGAGCTGATTCATGGTCCTTCAACCAGATTAACATGAATTTACATCTAATCTTTTGTTCACTTGAAAGAGAAAACCCACAGAACAGTACTATAGGATTATCACTTTGCAGTTATATAATATGAGCACAGTACAGCCACATGTACCTGTCTGTATTAACATGCATTTGCAGAAGCTGCCTGTACCTGAGGTAGTTGTAGAAAACTGCTTGAAAAATGTGTTAATAAAAGCAGTGACAGTTTTGTTAATCCACAAAACAGACATACCAAAATGACTCGCATAAACAAACATCCACCACAAACAACAAAAATGCTGACTCCCCAGAAGCCTCACACCCTGCACTCATCACCATGGTAACCGGGTGTGTTGGCACTTTAATAGCTGTGAAAGTCTTGTTAAAAAGCTCACCTGTTTTTCTCATTACAGCTCCTCTTCAGAAGACAGCGCCGTTAGCCTCGGTGCTAATAACTCAGATCAGAGTGTTGTGTGAGGGAGAAATGCAGTGTCGTCTTTACAATGTGTCCCAGGGGGTCGCCCCTCGTAGGGTCCTGAACAGTGGGGGGAGGCCAAGCTTTTGAAGCCTTCTCAGATGAGCACAGGAACATTCAATGACTTCCTTCTTGGATTAGAGGTACAGCCCTCCTGGCGACCAGAGCAAACACCCTAAACAGAGTCATCTTTGTGACATTTGTTAATGTTATTTATTTGGATGCTATTATAAAGTTGCAACTGAAGATTGCGGTCGTGCATCGTGCAGGATATAAAAGTCATATAAGTGTCCCCCTTCACTTGCTTGAAGTAAATTTTCCTGAATATTTCCTGCTGCTTTCTCATATCCTGCTCACCCCAACTGAAAGTTTGCTTTCACACATGCATGTTTCCTGAGAGTAACGTTATAATTCTTCTAGAAACCAGAGAAAAGTCATCGTCCCTCAACTTGAGACTAAACTAACAGTCCAGTCTGTGGCAGGGCTCAGGGTGCTGTTAGTGACACAGGTGACATTGAGGGGAGTGACAGTGGACTGTAAATGCCACCCCTCTGTTGACATCCGTTGATCTTCACCCCACTGGTCTCTGTCCAATTAGCAGAACACACAGCAGCACTGTTTGCCCAGCCTTCCTGCACTGCCCCCTTCATTCTGCCTGAGCCGAGTCTAACCTCACTGTAGCCCCGCCTTCGTCGGGCCACCTGGGTGACATGACGCACCGTGAACCTGGGCTTGCCGTCATGCTAACCTTGGCACTAGGGTCGCAAGTGCAGCACTAATTACTCTTTGTTGTTTGTGCAGGAGGCTACCCTATCAGCACTCGAGTGCACAGTCTCTCTGTCATTTGTTCAGCAAATTTACTCTGACGCTATCAACAAGACCAGCACCCTCCCCTCCCCCTCTCCCTCCCCTCCTCCTCTTGTTAGGACTGGTTAAAGTTCAGATTCTGGAAGTAGTACATGCATAATGAATGTAATTGTGGTATAGCCAACATAATTGATCTGGAAACACTGTTTTTTGTAACTGTCAAGTCAATGAAGTGCATTTGAGTTGAGCACAGGTTGGTTCGAGGTTTGTTACTCTATCTGAGAGACTGAAACGGATAAAATAAACATCACACCAATCTGCACCCTTCACAACTAATCAGTGTGTGTATACACGTGTAAATATGTAGCTCAGGTGGTAGTGCACGTCAGACATTAATCAAAGTGGTTCATGGTCTGATCCAAATAAACCATCCTGTATTTGGAAGTAACAAAGTAGGAATATTTAGTTTCTGTACCTAGGCAGATTTTTTGGTATCTTTTCATGTATTTAATGTTGTTTTATTTTAAAAAGTGATTATTTTTATTTTACATGACGGAGCACTGCCTTCCAAACATCAAGACAGGTTTCACCCTGAATACACACGGCAAAGGAAAAGCTTTTTTTCACATCCATCACACATTTCATGAAAGACTGAGATATCATATCATAAAAGAAACATTAAGAAATAAGAGTATGAAACTCAGCCACTAGTGACTGACAGTTAGAAGGTGTTGTCACATAATAGGGGGAAAAGGTGAACCAGCCAATGGGCAGATGCAGAGGAACAAGACATTCTCCATGTGACTGATTTGTGAATTTGAGTAGTTATCATTTTCAGATTAGCTTCATTTTTGTAATTTATTAAAGGGGACATATTAAGAAATTGTGTATAAAAACAGTGTTCTTGAACATATATTTGGGTAACCTGAGTGTCTACTGACCCCAAAAATGTGAAATAAACCCCCCTTTGTTTGTGGTCTGCATAAGTCTTACAACACAGAGAAAAATGCTCTGTTTCAAATTTGCTCAACTTGTGATGTCACAGTGGGATTCTGGTAAAAAAAAAAATCCTCTCCTTTGGTATCTCCACCCATGGACTCCACCCCCAGCCTAGAACAAATCTTTTGTGCAGGGTTATTGCATTTAAAGAGACACACACACCAAAACAGAGCGTTCTGAGAGAGCTGGTTTATACAGGGTCACAAACCTCCTCTGGTGCTTGATTCATGTTATATTTTGACCAAAGCACAGCACAGATGTTTCACTTAGACCACATGGGACTGTTTGAGAAGGTGGAGAAGGGCTATAATATGTCTTCTTAAAGCAAAAATGATCAAAGTGTCCCTAATATTACATAGATGTAGTTAGAGAGAAACAGCTTGTAGAAATGTTGTTCAGAGGGCGTCAGTAAAGAGGACACATCAGTAC